GTTTGTGTCTCGGACCCGGTGGCTTAAAACTCACGCCGGGCGCGTGTGCGTGCGTGCCCAAGATCCCAAGAGGAGAATGGAGGAGAAGGGATTGCGACGTGACCATCCCCCCTGGGGGGTGATTTCTCGCTTTCTGTCTCTATGTCTCTCTCTGTCTGTCTGGCGAGCGCACGCACCCTACAGAGAAAATCTCTCAAAAAAAAAATGTGTGCATGATTTGGAAATAACATATGGATATAATCTTAGAGGAATAGAACTGTGATAGAGAGAACGCTGGAATTAGAATCAAAGTTCTATTTAGGTTTGTTTCCAGACTTTACTTTTATTTATTTATTTATGAGGCACAACCTGAACAGAGTCCTCATCTGTGATCCACCCCTGGTTTCAGGCAGCCCAGACCAGGAGCATGTGCCTGTGCACCTGGCAGGTAAAGTGAGGTCCCAGGATGCCATCCCTGAACCTTCCCATGTGGGTCCGCTTGCTTTACTGCTGTGTCACCATCTGGGCCCATTTCCAGGCTTTAAATAAGTAACCTAACATCTTTAAGAAGAAGATTCATTTGCAAAGTAGATGTCCCAGTAATTGCCCTGATTGTCTTTCAAAGTTCTTAAGGAGATTCTAAGAGAGGAAGCACATGATGCTATAAAAACTAAGAGTGCTAAACCAACATCAAGAAAGACCAATTTATATGCATCTACCCTTATATATAAACTTATATGCATATTTTTTCTTATAAGAATTTTTTTTACATTAAATTAAATATTGTTTCTTGCAAGAGAAGCCTTTGAAGTAAGGTTGATATTATTATTCCTTACAAGTTTCATCTCGATTCATAAACATTTTATGCCAAGAATAATGCTGTTTTAAAGACAATAAGTGCCTGTTTCTGCCTGGGGCCACTGGAAGCCCTGCAAAAGAGACAGGAGGAATTAAAGGCCCTTAATCATATTTCCCCATTTTTAACTGTTCGTTTTTACACTCTTGAGCCATTTCTCTCCTCTTGCTGGGCCCTACCGAGGCCCATAAATCTTAATTAAAGATGCAATTTTTTTTTTCTTATGAAATCTGAGCTGCAAGAAACCTTTCATGTTTTTTTATTTTTAAGAGTAGCTCCATGTGTTGGCTCATAAAACAAATAAGACTTTTACACTCAAAGGATTTTGAAAGCTGTTATTGCTGCTGTCATGTGGAGCTCATCCCATAATCATTATTATTGTTATTTTATATATATACATATATATATATATATTTTAATTTCACTAGCCAGGGCATTTCCTTAGCTGAAGGTGATAAATGAGGTTAGCAAACGAGCAGAAGTTATTAGCAAGCCAAGACTCGTAAACTGACCTAGGAAGTGGACCAAAGCTGCGGTTCCAAGTTAAAAGAGCAAAAACGAAAGCAACATCTTGGCAGCTGGCTAGACCCTGGCGGACAGCAGGTAACCAGTCAACAGCTGTTGATCAGAGGCAGGACTAATGAGGTTAGGCTTAGGAGCCTCCTCCAACTTTCTGTCCCTGCGTGGGATGCACACAGGACCTCAGGAGTCTGCCTGCAGAAATCTCAAAGAAAAGACCCTTTAATCCAAAGGTCACTGGCTGGATGATGTGAACAGTGAGGAATGGATCCACCATCACCTGTCCCAGGTGAGTCAGACTCATTCCCCACCACGGAACAAACACTTGTGTGCTACAGGGTGAACATCCTGCATTTCTGATGAGAAATAGGTGGCATCTAAAAAAAAAATAAAAAATACAGGGCACGCTCTCTACATACAGTCAGCATCAGCAGCATTTAAGAGTATCCCTTCCCACTCAATCCTCTCTAAAACCAAACATCTGAAAATGCAGTGTACCAGTGTATCAGTGCCTTTAAGAATCATAAAACAGCACAAAGTTTTTTCATCAACCTGAAAGCAGCACAAGCCAAACAAATAATTAAATCAAAGAGCTCCTCTCTCCCTTTCTTTTGTAAAAGAGGGAAAGGTATTTTTCACACATTTAAACTTGATTAAAGCCATCACAATGTTTAATTCATCAGTGTAACCAAAGCTCAAAACACATCAAAGCAGGACCCATCAGCGGGTACCCAGAGCACTCCCTCCAAAGGGCAGAGGTAAAAACAAAACAAAACAAAACCGTCTAAAATGAGTGGTCCTCCTTTGCTTACAGGATTGGAAGAGTTTTCGAACTCATTTCCTTCAAAAGTCCTGGGGACTCGTGAAGGAAGCAAAGAATTAAACACTTTAAAAAAAAAGAAAAAGGTTTTAGGCAAGACTGCCGCTTGTAACTCAGACTTCCGGGTTAAATTCTGTCTTAGAAACCATACCTGCCTACTCGAAAAAAAGCACCAATCTAGAGAGTGCTTTTCACCGTGTGAAAAACAAAAACGTCCTCTCTTGGCATTTCTCTGTTCCACACCTCCTACTTGAATTAAGCATATTTCAGAACAGACTCACACACGGGCAGACCACTCCACACCTAAAAGGAAAACAGTTTCAAGCTAGGGAGATGCACAAGATGAACTCAGCCTTTGCAAAAATCATTTCGAGCCTCCTGGAGACAGAAATACTTGGCTATTTCCAGCCTGCCCATCCAACAGGCAAACTTTATTTCCATTGGCTTTTAAAGGGCTAAGCTTCCATCCAAACTCTAACACAGGAACCAGGGGTACTTTTTTTTTAAATTTAACTGATGAAAACCCCCGGACAGGTTTTTCAGCATGCCAAAATCAAACTTCAATTTTTTTTTTTATTCCTTCTTTCTCTCTCCCCAGCAGCAGCATCCCCCCCCCCAAAAAAAAAAAAAGAAGAACCCTCCGAAGTGCCCCAATGTGTGCTGCTGCTGGCTCTGAAGCCGTGTAGAATTTCGTAATGGAATGTGGACTGCTCGTCCGGATCTGGGCTCACGTTCTATCTCCTAACCAGTAAGGAGCGAGGGAGGGCAAATCTGCTGAGCAAGGAGAAATACTTTCCTCCTCTTTTATAACCCATCACGGATGCACGGCGGCCGAGGGACGCGAGCTGCACGCGGCGCCTGTCAAGCTTCCCCGCGGCCGACGGTCCTGCGCCTTGCGGGGTCCCCGCGCCCAGGGACCCCCGCCCGGCCGAGAGGTGGCCGCGCCCCGCACTCACGCGCGGCGGGGCAGCAGGTCCC